AGCACTATTTATGTGCATATGATATGTATGCCGTTGTGTTGATTATACGAGTTGGGAGAATAACTCACACCGAACCTCTGTTAGTTCCCGCATCTATAAATCATAAAATTCAATAGTCACTCACATTATGAAAATATTTTGATGCACAGAATATTGAGCTGTCCAGGTGGTTTTGATAAATGTTTATGACACCTTTCTCATTAGTGAAAGGCAAATAAAATTCGTATTAAGTTTGTTCAGCTAACGGTTATAAGTTATTTGGTTGGCATGATGCTTTAAATGGGCACTAAAGTCCAAAAAAAAAGGGTTTCACATAGGACCAGAAGTGGAAGTATAGCAAATATATTATATAATTGACACTATCTAGTCGCTAAAGCAATTTTCGGCCGCGTTGCTTCTCCAAATTTGATGCCCATCTGGTTGTTTTTCCAAGAAATGCAGGGACCTTCAGTTTATTCTAAGCTGCATCCGAAGGGCCGATTGATTTTTACGAAGAGTTTTTTATTTCACGTCAGAACTACACTCAGAGGGCCTGATATTCCCTACCGAGTATCGACCGCAATTAGAAAAATTTATTTAATTTTCTTTAAATTTTAGATATTGGTTGGAGCAAAATTAGAGCCCTGGACTTGCGAATGGCCGCCGAAAACTACTGTACAAAAGTTGGTAAAATTGACTGCTTATAATTTGTATGTATAATATTTGGTCTGTCGTGAACACGAATGGAAAACTCCAAAAATGTCTGACAAAAGTCCAGCCTTACAGGCACCTCCTTACCATATAGCAACCCTTAATTGTTTTACATATCTTTCGGGTCAATACAAATATTTATCAGCCGAGTATCACATGAACCCAATCTTTCTCATCTGTTTTTAAAAAGTAAAATAATAATCAAACGAATTAGTTACAAAATTTTCAACTCGAGAATCGCTGGATCGATTTTTTTATATGTATCCGTAAAAAGTAGTTTTTCGGGGTAATGAACCAGGGTACGATCTTTTCGGCAAAATCGTATTTTAAGTATATTTTCTGGTGAATGACTGACTGATTGATTAAATTACGTTAATCTACTTTCCGGACTCAATAAACTAATTATAATTTGACTTAAAACGCTGAGACGCTTGAAATTTTATTTCTCGCCGAAAATAGCCGCTTTCTGTGCCTCTACTTCCCTCCTCCATGTGTTCGCTGGTCTCCCGCATCTTCGACATCCCTGATAATTTCGGTCTAGCGCTAGTAAGGTTGTCATGAGATTTTCGCAAAGTGTAGCTGATCCATTTCCATTTATGACATTGAGTTTCGGTATGGACCAACCAAATGCTGCTTTGTAGCTGTCCAGAGGTAAACATTGCTAATAAACTTGGACCTGGCGCAATTTGCTCCGTATTTTATGAATTTACATTCAATGCAATTTCCGCGACCATTCTGCCACTCACTTACATACTCTCTGTATATCTACGAATTTTAAAAACAAAAATTTTGGAGTGAAAAATATTAAGTTTCAATTTTCATAAAGACATGATCACAGTTTTAATAATTTTTAAACTGACGTCAAAATTTACTTTGCGGCTTATCAGACTTTGAAGCTAATAGTGCTCGACGACTAATATAATATAATTTTTGGCAATTATTTGTGATGGTTTTGTTTGATGTGTACAATGTGAAATAGTTTTCAATACACGATTCTACTTCATTTGGTTTGTCTAATGCTTGTTGAAACACCTTTCACTTCTTGACCATATTGCAATATTTAGTGTGGCCTACATTTAGGCGCACACACCAAATGTTGCTTCTACTGAAATATTAGCCCCGTCGATATTAATAAAACCAATTTGTTCGAAAGAGTATAAAATTTGTTGTAATTTTCACATGTGGAGATATACATATCTAAAGGGTGACTTTTTACATATTATCTTTTTGGCAAGACTGGTTTAAACAGCTGACGAACGTTTCGTGTTTTGTATCTCTGCCAAACATCTTCAGTCAGGTCTATAATTTACCCATGAACTGCATGTGGGTGACATGTGGTTTCAACAAGACGTTCGGGGACCGGTCAATTGGCCGCCTAGATCGTGCGACTTAACCCTTTGGACAAGCCCGCTTCTATTGACGCATTGGAGGGCAACATTCAAGCATTTACTCGTGAGATACCGGCCGAAAAGTTGAAAAGTAAATGTCAAAAGCGGATGTACGAGTTGAGGCACAGTCGCGGTCAACATTTTCATGAAATAATCTTCAAACATTAAGTTATATGGACTGTACTATCGATACAATTAAAGATTTCATGCATTTTTCTAAACTTTATGTGTTTTTTTAAACTTTCCTAAAGTTTTTAAAAAATCACCCTTTATAAATAAGCGTCAGGGGAGTTAATTAATTTAACGACTTTAAAAAATACTTTCATACATACATACATCCATCAATATTTATTTACTCTTAGTAAATATCGATAAGCAAAAGTTCATATTAAGTACAATGTATATAACGGTATATGTGCATATAAATTACAAACAATATCATGTTTATTTTTGACACTATCTTGAGAATGTTAGGTTAGTAAACAAATCAAATAATAATAACTTTTTTAATTATTCTATTTATGTCATATCGCGTATGACGGTCCCCTTTTCTTTGCATTTAATATTGTTGTTGTAGCGGTTTACCAACTCCGCTTAGGAACAGGGTAGTCAATTCAAATCATCGAGGTCATCTAACGAGAGGCCTAGGAGATGAACTGTTTCGACGGGTACGGACCGGGGTGGAGAGAGGGTTAGATATTGGGGTTTCAGGGCGTGGTTAGTGCATAGGGATGGTTAGTATCGTGCGCAATATGGTATGTCGGAGTCGAGTCTGGATAGGTAGAGGTTTAACGTGTTACAATATCTAGACCTAAGTTGTGCCAGTATTACGCGATACTCTCGAGACAAATCGAGCTCTTCATCTGCTATGGGTGGGTGGTTTGCCTATGAGGACGCTATTCACAGGTGGGGAGTTCTTAAATGTGTTGAGTGGCACCGCTCTGTCCAGCGGTTGTTGGGCATGTTGCAGTCCTTCAAGTCAACCTACTACCTTTTCGATGTGCCTTGGTGGTGGCTTGCTTGTAATGAATGTAAAAAATCTACTAATAAAAAAACCATCAGCCATTCGGATGCGGCTTAACATAAACTGTATGGCCATCCATTTGTTGGAAAAAAATCACTTCAGTGGGTACAAAGCTCCAAATATATATATTGTTTACCCTGAAAAGCAGCCATAACTTCTACCTAGAGATGTCGCTGCTGTCTTCTGTTCTCACCTAAGTGACTCTTCAAATATATGGGGAAAGTCCAGTTAGTCCAGTTAGTCCCGTTTAGGATTTCCACCTTTTGTGAAAACCTTTAAAAGGGCAATGTTTCCGGCCTGAAGCCCTTCTCTAGATCCAGCAGCCACAGCAGCAACATCTCAGGTGAGGGTATTCAAATTTGTTATGTAGGTTTTGTATACATATACATATACATTTTTCAATAAATTTTTAATATCGTATCTAATTAACACTTCAAACTTTTATTGAGAGGCGAGGAGCTTTTTGAAGGACCGACACTTTCCCCGCTCCCTGTTGCCGGAAATCAAGAGGAATTCCGGCCCCTAATTCACCCCGAAGCGAAACATATATAATGGAGCGTATTTACAATTATCTCCCATTTGGGTATCGGATTCGCCATCTCCAGGTGTTCCGGACGTTCCAATACTGGACTATTAGGAAGGTCTTGTAGCGATTGTGCGCTTAGAAAATAACAAAGCGTGTTCTGATTACTCCAAAACGAATAAGGAAGCAAGGAGGATGAGTCTGATAAGGAACTAAGACAAGGACAAATATATTCCGACAACGAAACACCAGTTATTGTATTTGCGTCCTGGAAATCGAACACAGAATCATTCTTGCCAACAAATGCTACTCTGGTCTGAGTAGCCAATTCAGAAATAAAATCCGCTCTTGACACATTCCCGCCCTGATTTATGACAACAGCCGATGGATTGGCCCTACAGGTTTTAAAAAAATAATTTTTGCGTATGATTTAAAGACCTTTCGAGATATACGAAGGCATATAAAAGGAAGAAGGGTTAAAAGAGCTCTAAATGCTTAAAGCTTCCCTCGGCTTCAAATTAAAACCTGTTTGACTCTGTCGGCCAGTCGGTTTTAAAAAATTTCAACTCCAGAAATCTCTCTCATACAAATGCAAAATTTCTCATTTCACCATTCCTACACCAATTTACGGTATACACATTTTGCTCCCGGCGTTTCCAAAATACGCAATGTAAGAAAACGGAAAAGCAAAAATGACAGCAACAACAAAATATATACATACATACATATATGTACATATATGCATGTATGTATATGTACGTCGATTAGTAACCAAGGCAAAGGCAACAAACAATCAACCAGCTGACTCTCGAATATGAGCGTACTCTCTTTCGTTTTTCTCGCCCCAAAGGTCACCTTGACGCGTTTGTATGCCGGCATACATAAATGTAGCAACAACAAATAAACAATGCTGACACACCAACCGAAAAAGCCGTTGGAGCAAATAGCAAGAGCAAATTATATGTGTATACATATACATATGTACATGCAATTGTATGTATGTAAGTATGTATATAAAGTACAATAAACGCTGCAACCAAGCAAAATCAAAGCGAGCGTCGAGACGCGACGCTACTTTCATGCCTGATATCCAAAATTTCGTCATTCATATGGCTCCCCCCCCCTCCGTTGGCGGCGCTAGTCCACAAGTCACCACCAGCAATGCGTGCGTGCTTTGACTGTTGTAGCTGCTGCCACGACTAGCTCTGTTGCTGTTGGCTGTTGGCCGACGTGGCGTAGTTGTTTGCCCTCTGCGTCACCACCACCAACAGCACCAACAGCCACTTGGAATACCCGATGTCGTCGACTCATACTCACCGCAATGCAGCGCAACGCGGTGAGCGGAGGCAGCAGGCAGCGATTTATAAGCAAAATACATATTACGCTCGTCAAGCAGTTGTATCGCAACAAAATCCAGTCAAAGTCAAACAGTTCGACGCTGTCGCCGTGAGCAGACGTTTTAACGCGACTACAGTTCCCGCCAAGTGTTGTTTTTGCAGTGTTCTAAACCGTTAACTACTAAAAGTGTCAGTTAGATTTTGCAGAAGTTTCATTGAGAAACTAGAAAAGGAAATTGATTACATAAAATACAAAAACAAAAGCAGCAGCGTAAACAAAAGTATGTAAGCAAATAAATGGAGCTAAATTACAGATTTTTTTTTTGTTGGTTTTTTTGTATGCAAGCAAATGATTGTGGGATTTATACTAATTAATGGTATTTATTGTTTAATCATTTTGTATTGAATTTCTAGCGACTGGAAATGCAGTAATGTGATTTTTTTCCATTTGTTTGCACATATGAACATACATACATACACTCACTTACAAATATATTTATGTACTATGTGTGATTGCGATTAAAATTACACTACACGCTCGTTGTAAAAGTTTTTTTTTTGCAATTTCCAGTTAACTGATGACTTCATACGCGTACATATATACATATAATACATTCATACTACTACCTAATTTGATATAAAATTTAATTGTTGAATGGTGATTTTTTGTTCAACTTTCATGTTTTTTATGCATGAACTATTTAATGCAATTTATTTTGTTGCGGAAAAATATTTAACGAGCGAAACACAACTTCCATGCAATATTGACTACGAGTACCAATTGGATATTTCATAGAAAAATCGGCTATGAAATCCGAAATTTGAAGAGGAATTAAAACTGAGTAACAAAAAAAATGTAAAAAAATATTATTTTTATACTAAAAGTTAAATAATTATAACAAAAATTACAAAAATATATATGAATTAAATTAGTATCAAATAACACATGAAAAAAATGATAAGAAATAAATAAATTTAAAAATAAATAATAAATAAAATAAAACGAATGGTATTCAATAATAAAATATAAAGCAATAGAAAAAAATTATTTAATCGCTTAAATAATAAAACAATAAAAATTTTAAAGTAATCAACATTAAAATTAATTAAAAAAAATTACCAAAAATATATATAAATAATAATAATAAAAATAAGGAAAAATTTATGAAAAATAATACTAAGACAAATTTTAAAGTAATAAAAACAAAAATATAATAATAAAATTAAATAAAAAAATTAATTAGTAATATAAAATTAATAAAAATATTAGTTAAATAAATATGACAATTTTTTTTTAATTTTAAAGAAATTAAAGAATTTAATTAAAAATAAAAGGAAAAAATAAAAATGGAAAAATAAATGAAATTAAAATGTAAAAAAATTAAATAACAAAAAAAATTAAACAATAAATGAAATTAAATAATAAAAAATCAAATCAAAAAAGCAAAATAAATAAAAAAGAAAATAAACCACATAAATATTTGAAGTAATTACAAAAAATATGATTTCAACTACAAAAAAGGCAGTTAGCGAAAAATTTCTACAGCATTCAAAAGCCGCTTTTATCTCTTCAGATATACGTGTACATACAAGCATGTGTATGGTTCTACATATATATATATATACACATCAAAATATGTACATACACTTTGGTAAAGCAATGCTACCAAAGTCACCTTGTGCCATTATTTGTTGTATATTAGCCGCTACAACAACAACAACAACATTACTAGTAAATGTATTTGTACATACGTGTATGTATTTATGTTTCTGCATGGAAAGCTTTGCTGTCCTAAATATTTTATTGGAGATGGTAGAGAAGTGTCTAAAATTAGCCTTGAAAATTTTGTGCTAATAATTATTGTTTTCGTAGGCGAAAAGTGACAAAAAAGAATTAATAATTTCATTTATGAAAATGGAATGAGGAACACTATGTTAAAAATGATAGATACAAACTTGTAGATAAGAAAAACATATATACACATACACATACATATGTGTATAAAAATGCATATATATTTGCGAATATATTTTCTAACTATCCAATTATATATATGTATGTATTTTAAATTATTTTTTCACTTTAACTTAAAAAAAAAATTTCTTTTTTAAAATGTTAATATATAACAACAATATTATTAGAATAAATTAATTTTTATTTATATTTCTTTTTTATATTATATACTTTAATTTTTGTGTCGAAAGCCTCCAACACCTCTACCAACTGTCACATAGCATTCTTCTCCATCGAATGCATTATTGATTGTTAAAAATAGACTTTTATTCTAGGTCATCAAAGAAAAATAAATATATTTTTTCCCGCTTACTTGCCGGTAACTAAATAACAGCTAGACTATACATTCTTATACAGACATATTTATATGTATATATGTATAAATCCGGGCTGTTGCATCTACCACAGAGTGCATTCACCTTAGTGCTGCTGCCGCTGCTGTGCAACAATCACAATGCAATTTTTTTAATATTTTTTTTTTTTTTACTTATTTTACTATTATGTGGCCAATGCCAATACTACGCGAGTATAGAGTATATAATACCTGTACGTATGTATGTATATAGTTACACTGAATTTTACAATTTTTTTTTTCGTCTACTTCCCTTCATCTGGGCGCTCAGCTCACTTGCGCTTTCTTTGTGGTCATGCGCAGTGCAGACAGGTACCAATACTATCACCATCGGCATCACCATTAAAACCGGCGAAAATGTCAATGAACAGCTGATTTTGAGAAGGAAGCAAAGCAAAGCGAAGTAGATGGTCGGTGTTAGTGGTGGTGGGTGGCAAAAAGCGGTTAACTCTGACGCGTCACATTGTTTGTGAATGTGCAAACACATTAGGGTGATCATATTTAAATAATAATTTTTAATGTCAAAACATGTTTCATTTCTTGACATATAAAAAAAGTTCAAATTCCAAAAAGTCGAAAGTTTTTAAATTCTAATTATATTTAAACAATAATTTTTAATGTCAAAACATGTTTCATTGCTTGACATATAAAAAAAGTTCAAATTCCAAAAAGTCGAAAATTTTTAAATTCTAACGGTATTTAAATAATAGTTTTTAATGTCAGAGCATGTTTCATTGCTCGACATATACAAAAAGTTTGAATTCAAAAAAATCGAAAATTTTTAAATTCTAAAAATTTTATTCTCTTTTGAACAATACTAAAAAATTTCGAATCAATTTGTCAAGCATTGGCGAAGTGTATCTTTAGCTTTAAGAGAATTTCTTGATATAAATTTAACATTTTTTTCGAGACTTTCATGCTTTGCTAACCAAAAGAAAAATTCACAGTAAAAAGGCCGCACTAGAACCAAACTTTAAAATATTTTCGAAAATAGTTTTAACTTCTCCCATAAAAACTAAAAAATGGTTAGTAAGAGCAGATGATGGGATGTATGTATCCATATACATATGTATGTATGTATATTTATATTATGTATTGCATTAATTGCACGCCAATTGGAACATCCCTAATGTTCAAATAAAATTTCCATGTACAAATTGTATGTTATATATGTATGTATCTGTGTAAAGACGATTATGTGCAACAACATTACACCATACAATTCCTGTTTCCTCTTTTTCTTGTATGTATTGCAACCACTTTTTTTGGCTATATACTCGGCCTGGTTTTGACTTTGAAAATGCCCGCTGAAGGACACGACTTTTTTGACTGAAACTATTTTTGCTTCTCTCCTCTTGTGTATACGTTTAAGTAAAAGGAAGAAGCTTTTTGTATGTAAAAATGTATAAGAACAAATGTACCAACTCATGTTACTACATACATATGTATATACAGATGGAAGGTTGTGAGCTGTTTATGGAGGTACACGTGCTGAAAATTACCATGGCGGGAGAGTATAAAGTTATTTATACATACATATATATGTACTCGCACGTATGAAAAGAAGTGAGAGCAGAAATATGTGCACATGCACATACATACATATGTAAACATTCCCTAATAATTAGTTTGTAATACAATACACTCGATTCAAAACTCCAAATAACAAAGAATCTATTCATTGCTCGAAATTCTTATATTTGTATGTACAGATGTATGTGAAGGGAAATAATTTATAGCGTGAATATTCATCACCGCAATTAGCGATAGTTAAATTTCACATTTTGCAATTATAATTAATTAAGCTGAATCAGTTAGATTGCAATTTGCCGATAAGCCAACGTCTTATCAGTAAGGGAAGCAGCTAAATAAAATATTTATTTCTTTATTTAAAGATTATCAGTCATTAAATGTGCTATGTGAGTAAGCGCGTTTGCAGCTTTTGACTAATTACTTTGGTAATGTCAGCTGCTTTGTTGTTATCAATTTCGTAGTAAAAAAAAATACGTAAAAATATTTTTATTTTTATAAGTAAATGTAAATAAAAATATTTAAATAAGATTTAATCTCAGTGGAAAAGAATTTCGGCAAAGCAACGAAGAAAATTGTAGGCGCCACACGCTGCGCAGTGGAGTGGACAGAAAAAAATTTAAATAAAAATGAAAGGAAATTTAGATTTATTAGATTAGAAAAATAAAATGCACTAACATAATTTTCTTATCAATGACATATGAACTATTAATCTGACACACCCAAAGAGAGCCGCGCACTTTGCAGCCAATAATTAGATATACTAAAAGTAATCAAATTCCCAACAATTTTTTTGATAATAAATGCCTCATCATATCAATATGCATTAGGAGCTTTAGATAAGATTAGAAAATTTGCAAGTTGTCCTGAAAGAAGCAATTAAACTACACTAAACTAACAAAATTTTCAAGGTGCTGATAACATAATCAAACATTTGGCTATTACTCACTTCAGCCCAAATTGAAAAAAGGTAATAAAGAAATCTTATCATTCGCCACGAAAAACAAAATCTCGATTAAAATGTACGCACGTGAGTTTAAGATTCCACACCAATAAGAGCAAAACAGCTGAATAGGCGCAGAAGAGCCCTCCCAGAGATTTAATGGTTTACATACCAACAACGAAAAACAGATGTTTTTTATTAGAAAAATATATTTTATAAACAAATTGCTATCTACTGATGTTTTGAACTTGAAGAAAAAAGTTGCTAAAAATGTTGACAGCAGTGACGTTGAGCATCTGCGTAATTAAAAACATTAATAAGCCAATGAAATATGCATTGAGAAATATATTTATCAAATACAAAAGAAACGTTTAAAATAGAATATTTTTTTTTATGAAAATTATTTTAATTAATTCACAATCCATTTCGTTTTTAATATTTGATAGAGTTTTGATTTATTTTAATTATTTAAATTAAGATTTTTTTGCTTTAATTAATTTAATATAATTTTACTTATTTTATTGCTGACTTAAATAGTTGTTGTTTATGTTGTTTTGTTGTATTTCATTTTTATTTTAGCTCAGTGTAACTTCATTTTATCCAATGTATGTTATGTTTTAATATATTTTATTTTTTTTTTCCTTTAACTTATTATTTCTTTCACTTCATTTTATTTTATTTTTTATATTTTGTTTTATTTTTTATATTCTATTTTATTTTTATTTATTTCATTTTAGTTTGTTTTATTTTTTATATTCTATTTTATTTTTATTTATTTCATTTTAGTTTGTTTTATTTTTTATTTTATTTTTATTTTATTTTATTTTATTTTATTTTATTTTACTTTATTTTATTTTATTTTATTCTATTTTATGTAATTTTATTTTATTTTATTTAATTTTTTTGTTTAAATTTATTTTGTTTATTACTTTTAGTTATATTTTTGAATAGAAAAATTTCCGTTAAACCATAAAAAATCTGGAATAATTCGTTTTAGTAATAAAACTTTTAACCATTTGCTTTCTTTTTTATTTATAATCAATTTAATTATTCCTCGTGCAATGCATCAACCGCCACCAATTATATCTAATTTAAAAATAACACAAACAAAATTGTTTTTGCAATTAGTTAATAAACAGTTGCTCGTACTAATCAACACAGACCTCCACCCACCCCAGTGCCTCGTCATAATTAACCATCCATTTAAATATAAAAATTCTATTTCATTGAATTTTCGATAGAAAACATTTTTGAATATACAATTTTTGTTTTTGGAAAAATTCTATTGTATCTGATAGTGTACACAGATATGAATGTTTGTATATATTTATGAGAAATTTTTGGTGATTTCGTGGAGCGCTGCGTGGAAATGCAAAAATTAAATCGACCTTCATGAATGACACCATCACTTGTTACTTTTTCCTTTTTAATATTATGTATATATATACATATATACATACATATTTTTCAATTGGATTACGTGAGACCCAAATTATTTCGGCAGTGAGTAGGTCAGCTTTTCTTTATTTTTATTTTATTACTTTTTATTGAAATGTGCCACGTGCCCCGCGTCTGTATCTGTGATATGCCGGAGTATATTTCAACAACAGACCAATCTGCATGTGACACGAGCACTCATAAGTGATCACATGAGTCGTGTGTCTTATAGATACATACATATGTGTTGTACATAAATGTGCTAAATAAATTTAAAATTTAGAGGAATTTTAAAAATTAATAAAATTTTCCGTTCGATGTCACGAGTTGGCTAAATCACACATACATACATACACTTACTTTGTATTTAAAAATACTCCTAACACCTTAATTTATTTAATAATTATTAAATTCTTAGATTCATTTTTTGAATAATATATTAAGTGCATTTTTTTATTCTTTCTCACTTACAAATAGAATTTTAATTTGAAAATTAATTTAATTAATTTTTTGAATTTTTTTATGAGAAAAATATTCTTCTTCTGGTATAACAATTTATTCCGCTTCTTCTTTCAGTAAGAATGGCATCCGTTTCGGAAAATCTCATGTCTCAAGTTGCCGAGGTACTACCATCCGGCGGACGTAAAGTCACCATTGTTGGCATCGGTCAAGTTGGTATGGCCTGCGCCTTCAGTATACTCGCTCAAAATGTCTCGAACGAAATATGCCTTGTCGATGTGTGCAAGGATAAGTTGCAAGGTGAAATGATGGATCTGCAGCATGGTTCGAATTTCCTAAAGAATCCCAAAATTACCGCCAGCATCGAATATGAGGCGACCGCTGGTTCACGTCTCTGCATCGTAACGGCTGGTGTACGTCAAAAGGAGGGCGAATCTCGCCTGTCGTTGGTGCAACGCAACACTGACATTCTCAAGCATATCATTCCAAAGTTGGTGCAATACTCACCCGACACCATACTGTTGATGGTCTCAAATCCGGTTGATATTATGACTTATGTCGCTTGGAAGCTATCCGGTTTGCCAAAGAATCGTGTCATTGGCAGTGGCACCAATTTGGATTCGTCACGTTTCCGTTTCCTGATGTCACAACGTTTGGGTGTGGCACCTACCTCTTGCCACGGTTGGATTATCGGTGAACATGGTGATAGTTCCGTGCCCGTATGGTCGGGTGTGAATATTGCTGGCGTGCGCTTGCGTGAGTTGAATCCCAATATTGGTACTACCGAGGATCCCGAGAACTGGGAGGAAGTGCACAAGAAAGTGGTGGATTCTGCTTATGAAGTGATCAAGCTAAAGGGTTACACCTCATGGGCTATTGGCTTGAGCTCGGCTGCATTAGCTTCGGCTGTTTTGAACAATACCAGCAATATTGTTGCTGTCTCAACTTCAGTGACGGTGAATTTTTCTTTTTTTTTTGAATCTTCGTATGGCTCATGGAATAATTTTTTTATTATTTTTTTCAATGCAGGGTCAACACGGCATCGACAAGGAAGTGTTTTTGTCGCTGCCATGCGTTTTGAATGCCAACGGCATCACCTCGATCGTCAAGCAGATTCTCACACCCGTCGAAGTGGAGCAATTGCAGAAGTCTGCCAATATTATGGACCAAGTCCAGGCTGGCATTAAGTTTTAAGGCGTTACGAAATTGATGAGAGCAAAATTTGGATGTTGAAAAAAAGTAAAGGAAGCTAAAGAAAAGCAGGGAAATGAAAGAAAATATTATGTGAACAACTAGTATATCGATATACATACATATATATAAATTAAGTGTTTGTTTTTTTTTTTTTTGAAGAGAAGTATTTATTTAATTAATTTGAGTGTGCAAACCACAAAAAAACAACCCCTCGCCACACTATTTTCAGTCAAAGTCAAGGTGTATTTCTTTTAAACACACAAAACATACATGCATACATACATACATACATAATTGTACGTGATTTAACTATATGTTTAATTTTAATATTTTTATTTAAATGTTCCTAGTCTAAAAAAAAGAAAATCAAGAAAACACATACAAATAAAAGTAAATATTTTAATTTGGTAAAAAATAAAAACTTGGGTTTTTTATTTAAACTTTTTTTTTAATAAAAGTTACATGACCTCACTTTCTTTATTTCTTATTTATTTTTTTTTTTTTGCATTAAATACGAAACATAGCATAAAATGATAAATTTTTAAAAATTTGTACAAACAATTTTTTGCAATTGTTGTCATTGTAAATTATTGAATACTATGAATCAGCCGCAACTACCTCATTAGCATAAATTTTGGCGCAAAAGCTACAGCCGGCCCGGCTGGATGGGTAACCATGGCAACTGTCAAACCCGACAAAAGCGAACGTTAGACCGACCAGCGCAATAAGAACAGTTGGAATCATCAACCCTTGGTGTGCTTGTTAGTAAAAATTTATAGTAAATGGAAATTTTTATGTAAAATAAATATATAATATACTTACACACATACATGCATGCATAGCAAAATAAGATATGAAATACTTAGTAAAATTTAAAAAAAAATTCATTTAAACAAAAATTTTAATATTAGCATTAAATCTATCAACCAGATAAAATTATAATCCAACTTAAAACAATTTGCACTCTTGTAATTCCTCAACATAGCCACGATATTAGAATACAGCACTAAGCAAATACTCAGGAAAATAAAGCAATTGTGGACAATTCATTGATTTATTGGTGTAAATTAAGATTTCTTGGGTTGTGTGTTTGTAGTTGTTATTTTAGCGGAACAGGCCAGTTAGTTTAAGTCATCGAGGTCATCTAATGAGAGGTCTAGAAACCAGCTGAAAAGAGGGTTAGTAGAGATGGTTTGGCATGTTGTTGCTGTTTTTGTTATTATAACCGCAAAAAATTCTCCGAATTACCAGCTTCAAATAAAAAACTGTTACACGCACCCGGCGTGCTGGCATTTGGGGGACCTTGGTACAGGTTCTAGTCGGACCAACTTCCAAAAGTTATAGAAAATCTATTTAAATAAAAAATTAAGTTAAATTTTCTCATTACGGTCCTCTCGGCAAGGAACGGCAACCGCTCCGTGTGTATTTCCGACATAAAATCAAAGCTGTTCATAATGAAAACCTAAGCCGTTCTGTGGAGGCTTAGTATAAGCTGTGGGTCCCTCCATTTGTTGGAAAAACATCAAGACGCAAAACCTCATATTGGCTAAAGAGATAGGCCGGTTAAAGCATACTTCCAGGGCTTAAAGCTTTTTAGTGACATGACTCCGTTTAAATTAACAGGTAATTCTAGTACGAGCGGCTCTTGAAGTATGCTCTATCAATGAAAACGGCTGCTCGCTATTCGCTACTCTCAATTTAATTCACACCTTAGAGACTCACTTCATTCCGGCCTACGAGTGCATATACGTTCGTATATCGTCTACTGTCTCCAGCAAGGTTATATTAACTAAGTGTTATGGTTGATCCTCTTTGTTGTTACCAGCAAGTTTAAAAACTCCTTTATAGGCAGCTTAGCTTCAAAATTGTCAACTGTCTTTTCTTTCAATTTTTCTCTGCCATCTACCCTTCTTTTTATTAGCAGCAGAAAGCAAAGGTTTCGCATTTATACGTTTGGTAGAGGGGAAATTGCTTAAAGCAGCTTTTAACCCTCGCATGCAGAAGATAAAAAAAATTTCTTGCACCAAAATAAGAAATTCTAGTAGCAAAGTTTCAAATCGAATGATAAGAGCTTTTGAAAATTATAACAGAGCTTTTGTTTTTGCACTGTACCAGCAGTGCCAAAGAAGAATTTTTGGAAAGCTTCTAAAGGGTGATGTTTTCAGCTATCATCTTTTTGGCAACACTGGTTGAAGTAGCTGACGCACGTTTCGTGTTTTGTATCACTTTCAAACATCTTCAGTTTGGTCTATAATTTAACCACGAATCGCCTTACAAACCAGCAACGCTTGCAAATGATTGAATTTTATTATCAAAATGTGTGCTCTGTTAAGAAAGTTTGAAGCTTCGAAGCTCATTTTTGGCTTGAAGGGTGCATAAATAAGCAGAATTATCGATTTTGGAGTGGGATCAGCCACAAGCATGGCAGAGCAACCAATGTATACAGTAAAATTACAGTTTGGTGCGGTTTATGGGCTGGTGGCATCATTGGACCGTACTTCTTCAAAGATGATGCGAATGGTAATGCAACTGTGATTGGTGAGCGCTACCGTGAGATGATATCAAACTTTTTTTGCCTAAAACGCAAGAGCTTGACTTGCATGGCATGTGGTTTCAACAAGACGGCGCCACATGCCACACAGCACACGTAACAATGCACTCATTGAGAGGCGAGTTCGGTGAACATTTTATTTCACTTTCGGGACTGGTCAATTCCGCCTAGAACGTAAAATTTAATGCCTTTAGGCTATTTTGAGTGGGGCTGTGTTAAATTTTATTTCTATACAGACAAGCCCGCTTCTATTGACGCATTGGAGCACAATATTAAAGCATATTTTCGTGAGATATCGGCCGAAATGTTAGAAAGAGTATGCCAAAATCGGCCTTAGCGAATGGACCCTTTGAGGCGCAGTCACGGTCAATATTTGCATGAAATAATCTTCAAACATTAAATTATATGGATCGTACTTTCGATTCAAATAAAGATTTCATGCATTTTTCTGAATTCTTCGAGTTTCTTGAAAAACTTTCCTAAAACTCTTAAAAAATCACCCTTTATATTGGTCTTTATATTTTGAAAGCTTTACGACAGATGTCGCTAAAGTAGAATTGTTAGCAAAAGTCGTATTTAATACCTAAGTTCGTTCAAATTCGCTATACATATACATGTATATCTCTACATGAGAGATGAAATTATACTTGAAATCTTATTTAACCTTGATAGGCCATGTCAACTCCTCAGCGTGTATTTCTGTTATATATGAAGACGCATGCCACAAATGGGATGAGAACTCAGCCGAAAATCGCTGCGTTGGTTACAAAGCGTCAAATATAAGTTCATCAAAGGTTTGGAAAAAAATGTATGTTTGTGTATGCAATAGACTCCACGAAAAAGGCACGTCTGACCGTTCTAAATTTGTTTTTTATTCTCTATTTTCAAATAAAGCCTCTAATGCCATGCCGTGCCATTTGAATAATGTGATACCTTAGAGTGCTGGAAACGTGTCTATAACATTTCTTTTCGAAAAAAAAAAAATTATTAACAATTTTGATAATAAATCGCAGCTCAAGAGTTTGCATTGAAATGCGCTCATCCGCTGATATCAGCTTACAAATGCTTGCATGTATGTACATATGTATGTACATAAATATATCTACTTAACCCTACATTCAGCGGCTTTTCGCTTTACGCTTCCGATCGCTGAAGATCTGCAAAAACGTGCTACGCCAACAAAATCACTCAACACCGTTAAGATGACAATTTGTGATATTAAAATGCGGTTATTGATAAGAGTTTGTAGAAAAGCAAAGATCGCTTTGACATAAAAGCATTCTCGCGTGGGCATCAAAGTCGAGTAGAACGCATTTGCACAGCGAGGCAGACACGTGGACGACGGCAGTGACAGTGTTGAGAGCAAAATATTACGCTTATATTTGTGGTTGGATATTTTTTTATTCTAAGTTTAACGAAATGCCACAACAACGCATTTATCTGAAAGGTCTTTGGCTAATGAGTCTGGTCCTGCACGTTACACATGGTGGCATAGCGGATACGGGCGCAGAATCACAAATCAATATGCAGCAACCAACGGTGGAGCAGATACAACAAAAGAATTTTGAAATTTTACAGGAGGCGTTGCCGCTCGGCTGGAAGGCTTTCTGTGAGTATACTTAACGGCAAAAAAAAAAACCTAATAAACAATCAAAAATAATATTTAATTTATTATTATTTTCTTCATTCAATCAAAGGCGAGGCGCCCGTTGACGAGTCTGTTATGCTGCTGCATAGTGGCATAAATCCCTGCGACGCCAGCATACATGTGATGACCATAAACAATCAAAGCATACAATTACCCATCAAAGCGATCTCGGAGATTGCTGACTTCGACATTGATCCTAAGCGCAAAACCCTACTCTACGTGAATGCTTACTACACGGCCGATACCTATTTCAGCGTGCAAGCTCATCTAAAACTCTTGCAGACGACTCGTCGTGACCTCAACATTGTTGTTGTGGACTTTGCACGTGATGTGCTGCAATTGTATTACACAGTACGGCATCATATCGCCGTACAGGGTCATTTTGTTGCAAAAATACTCAATGTGCTCGTACAAAAAGGTATTGCCCCGGCAGATGTCACCTTGGCGGGTCATTCAGTGGGCGCAAATATCGCTGCATTGGCTGCTAACATCTACGCTAGTCAAGCGTCCCATGCGCCCAACAAGCGTATGGGTCAATTAGTAGCCATTGATCCGGCTTTGATGTGTCAACCCAGCGATATTTACGTGCAGGCCAATGTCAGCACGCGTGTGATTGTCATACACGGCGAGGGCGATGTGTTTGGCGTGCGTGAACGGCTTGGTACTATCGACATCTATCCGAATGGTATTGGTTTCTTTTCACGTCGCAAGCTACAGCCCGGTTGTGAAACGAAGATCTGCAGTCATATGTACTCGTTTGTCTTGTTTATGGAGGCACTGATCGAGGGTGTAATGATACCGGCGGTGAAATGTGAAAGTTGGTCACACTTCCGCAAGCGTCAATGTGATTTTGCCGATGCTCTAGCGATCGGTTTGAAATATCCCGCAAGTGCGCAAGGTGTATACTTTTGTCTGACCCAGCCGAATCCGCCCTTCACGTTTATGGAGCACGGCATAAAGTACCAGCGTGGCTTGGCCACTGCTGCCAAGGCGAATTCGATTTAAGGAAAGTGGTTTATGTTGGAGATTTAGCTTTAAGTAGATGAGAATAAAAGACTATAGTATAAATAAAGATTTTGAGATGGTCAAAAAATGCCTCTGTAAGTGTTCATTTTGGCAAAAATGATGTTGAAAACTAACAAATCAAATGTACCTGAGCAGTCCCTTAGTCTCTTACACCCTTAAGAACTTCAACCCTTCGAGTGAAGTGAAGTCCCAGTAGCAAAGTAATGTCATTCAATAACGGTGTTCTGGTATATAATGAGCATACAGCAGAAAATTTACAAAACTCACCTCACACAGAATCGTACGGGTCACTAAAAAGTGCAGCTTGCGGCATACCTGCCTTGCACGACATAAGACTCTCCTTCATATAAAGATCGTTTAAGTTAAAAAATTCTTTCTAATATCTTTCTTGAGAAATTTTCCTGAGAAATAAGTCGTTGAAAGACTTACTATGTGTAAACGAGAAGGGGGACTTCAAGCCGAGCACTACATACTCCCGACCTCGAAAGTCCGTACCGTCCATGTTAAACCTTTTAGTACTTCATTCAATTTTTGATAAATCAGACGTAAAACAAAATCCAGACCAGACTAAATACAAATAGCCCAATATTGGTCTGGAATAATGTCAGATGAAATGCAACAATTGACCATAAATGTACTGATCGAGGGCTTCTTAGCCACAGAAGTAATGCCACACCAACGGTACGCCCGAGTTAAAAAAGACAATTGAAAACATTAGCGGGGGCCACCAGTAATAAGCGTAACGATCTGAGAAACACAAGAGCCAGCACAAAGTTATATGGGTGATTAGTATGTGCGAGTATATCACATGGGGCAGAACCAGCTAAGGAAAATGTGTGATGGGTGAATTTTTGAAAGAAAAATTATACATTTTTTAAGTATATATACATATATAATATTAAAGTCATCTGACTACCCCAAGAATGGCAATCGCAGCAACCTTATGGGTTAGGAGTTTTAGAAATTACCCACAGTCTTCGAGAGAAAAGTTTTGAGAATGATTTATGGTTTTTGGTCATTGGCAATAGCGAATACCGCAGACCATGGAACGTTGGATGGATCAGGTTTTGATATTTCAAACATCCTGGAAAGAGCTGGAACGTTATTATTGATTCGGCTAAATTAGCGTGGTGCGGTGCCTACGCCAATAAAGAAGAAGAAGTTTGTCACTCATCAACCAATTTTTGCAACCTCCTTTCCACTGGGGTATACAACATTTTGGGTTTTACCATCGGCCTCCAAATAAAATGGTTTTGCCAATTCCTGAACATGCAACATACAATTGTCCCTATGCGAAGTAATTCTTTTCTGACCATGAGCTTTGTTGATAGCGATTGCAAACGCTGGTCGAACAGGGAGCTGTAGTCGTTTGTATTGAAAAAAATATCGGGCGGAATGATGAGGATGCAAGTAATAAATCAAATATTCAGTTGATTACGCGGCTGATTCACTACTTTCACAACGGTATCTATTGGTTTATTGTGACGGACTCGCTTCAATGCTGGACTGAATAATGTGGTTGAGATCTTAGACATCTTGCTTTGTTGCAGTAAGATGAGCTGGCTCACTCGGCCACTCATGATTGCTATAATTGATCTAGATATATGTAAATACTATGTGACAGCGGAACCATATTTGTGATTTTTTTCGAACAGGTCAGCCTTTAGTCTACTTCCCGGTGAAAAGAGTAGCCTTGCTGCTAACCTGAACCGATTTTGAGATAAATCGATATATAAATAAAATGTTTTTGAATGGGACAGATTCATATATGAAAAATTGGTAAAATACGCAAGCAACCTGTGACACCGTTAAATATTTGCACTCCATATTTAGACAAGTGTAAAATCGTTTGAAAACACATTAAGTTTTCGTTTTGAATATTGCAGTCGAGTGGTTAAAATCCGATTCTTTATCTTGTGCAATCTAATGTCTACGTCTGGGATTTTCCAAAAGTTATTGACCAAATGACTTGAAATTTTCACAAATTGTTTCTGAGATTGTTGATGAGGTTCATACGAAGAAAAATTTCCAGAAGTGGAACAGAGACCGATCTATGCTAAAAAAAAATCTTATTTATAATTCGATTTGCTTCAAATTCGATATACAAATGACTCTTTGCGAAAGAAACCCTGTATTTATAATTATTTTTACTTAAAATTATTTTTTTAGGGGAATTGGGTCGATCTACAAAGGAGGCAGTAAATATCGCTCAGGTGACTGTTTGGAAACTAAAAAACTGCAGGCGGGTCAAAGAAACTCGATAGTTGGGAGTCACGGGCATAATGCAAACAAACTAAATTCATTGACCGACTAAGCATCAATAAAACTCATCTAAAACGTGACAAAGCATTTCGATATTGCCTATTGAAAGTTGTTGCAAACTGGTCAATCGGTCGATTCTGAGCTTTAATGTTAATAAATAACCAGCCTACTGCAAGCTCTTCAAAAAAGCGTTAAGAACTGGTTGATAGAAGACTTTTTGCATTAACTATCACCCTGATAAAGCTAGACCACATATTTACGGTTGTGAAACTCCGACACACCAACCTTATAGACTGAAGTATGCACGGTCTGACTACTACTATATGTTTCGGTATCTAAAAATTCTCTTGAAAATGAAAAAAATCGGCGACCAAAGAAACGATAAAAAAAATTTGGCCAATTTCTTTGCTTATAAATCACACAACTTCTACACAGATGGAATTATGTTACTCTACGAGATATGGCGAAATATCGTAGAAATTAATGATCAATGTATTTTTGAAAAACAAATTTTTCAATAAAGAAAAATGTACTGATATATGTGATGTAGAGCACATTTTACGGTTCAAGGTTTGAAAATTTACATATTTACAGTTTTTTAAATAAATTTAAAATGCGTAAATTAACACAGCTTTTCCTTATTGCATTTTTTTATGCCGAAGTCTTTATGCCACTCAGAAATAATATAAATTTATGGTAATTCATTTTAGATTAAATATTAAACCTGATATCTGAAAATTCGGCTATAAGGGGCTTTATGATATAGTCACCCGATTTCTCGATTTATTACCCAAAATCTTAAACCAGTAGAATCGGTCGTATATACATATGCTAAAGTAGTCCGATCTGGACGGTGAATTTCGGTATAAATTATAGAAATAATTCAAAAACTGAGAGACTAGTTTTCGTGCAAACAGACCAACAGACGGTTTGGCTAAATCAACTCAACACGTCATTTTGACCCAATTGGTGAAAAGTTTTTCTTCTTCCTCTGGTGCTTACATACTTCGAGCAAAAGTTAAGACAGCATTTAATTTACCTGAAAGGTATAAAAATGCGATCAACTAGCGACACCGTTAAATATTTGCACTCAATATTTAGGCAAGTGTAAAAGCGCATTTCTGCGTTGCGGGTCTACCTATAAAAGAGCCAAAATCGTTCGAAAGCATATTAAACTTACGTTTCGAATATTGCAATTGAGTAGTTAAAATGCGATTATATATCTTGTGGACTTTGTTTTTATTCTTCTTCGAAATTGCAAGTTCAATTCCCGTAGAGCTCATCGACTTGAAAGAGTTAGACAAAGGAGTTGTTAGAGTGGAAAAATTTGTACCTATTAGGTAATAAATAGCTTCGCTCTATCTGTATGATAATTGAATTAAATTTCAAGTTGATATCCATTTTTAGCAACGCCCGCAACGCAACGATGAGAAAAATATGTGCGAGTCTTGTAGTACCAACAAATCACACCTGCCTTATGGGACCACTCTTTTCTACTTTCGATGCGGTTGTATGATCCTGGTGAGAAGCTACACAAGATGTTGTCAAACATTCAAACATTACAAGAGAAACTAAACGCGTTGTGATTATTCCTACATTAAATACAAATAAATAAATATATATATATATATATATTTAATGGAGAACATTACTAAGCAATTGCGTGCGATATCTATGTAGGTGCTGTGGTATGGCGTGCGTTTCGAAGATTGTGATTTAAATGTCAGGTATGTTATATGAGCACAGATGAGCCTTGGGGTTAGTCATGAGAATAGAAATTTAAAAATTTAATATTCTCTTTCATCAACATGAAGATAACCAGGCCACGCCCTCTAAAATTTAAAAAAAAAATCAGAATGTATTTTCCCTATAAATTGCTCGAAAATACTATTAGATATAGTATAGAATGAGCACCGAAGGTACGACCAAGAAGTAAGAGAGTAGAAGAGAGGAGTGCGGCCGCTCGAGTACTTTAATGGCCTCTTTCTCGAAACCACATTTTTTCACTTGGGTGACGCTCTTATTTAGAACCTATTGAACTTATCAACATAAAGTCAACGGCATTTTGCTCCTATTATGTCTTTCTATGGTAGGTACTTCAACCAAATATATTTAATGCTATTTAATATATATGTATAAACAATTAAAATTGAAAAAAGTTAAAAAAATTAAAAAGTCCGCCATTTTTTTTTTTTTTTTTTTTGTGACAATATCTCATTCTAGTTCCGCCCATCGCCAATGGGATACAGAATAAGAAACCGTTTTGATATTTGTTTTCATATGAATCGTTTTACAGTTATCGTGTCAATCACTAACAAAACGGACGTGTGTTAGCAACAATTTCAAGAGCCGACATTAAAAAAAATTTCAATTAATATTTTTATACGTTCTACTATAAACTTTGAGTTAAAAATATTTTCTCATAAATAAATAAAATTTTCTTAATTTCTTTGCCGCCATGATTTTAATTTTCGTTATAAGTTTTGAATGAGCGAAAATCCTAGCTCTTGTTTATGAAGTGAATATTTTTTTTTATACAACAAAGAACAATGGTTGAAGTGTCAGCGGTTTCGGAGATCACCGAATCTTCTCACCAGACTCCTTATGGCAGGGATCGAACTAACGGATCCTGACTTGACAGGCGAACATCAGCCATGTAATCTATTGTTGTAATCAAATTAACCAGCGACTATTAAGTGCACTAATTTAAATTTAAATAAAATTTTCTTGACGCGGAACAAATACAGTACAAGACGATCCTTTGGAATTTTCTATAACGAGATGGTTAAGAGAATTCGTCATTGAGTACGCGCGTTCATACAAACGGATAAGTTTCTAGCTATAAGCAGAATCACACCAAGGTTCTACAGCGTTGCGCAGGTTTGCGCCAACGTACTAACAGACCAAGGACCAAGAACCTGTGAGCATTGCTGCAGCTTCGATATCAAACTCGTAAGAAGTATTCCTATTCCTAAATGGACTGAAACTGTTGTGCTTTGTGAGTACCGGTCTATCTGCAAAGTATCCCGGATGAAAAAAAAAAAATCCCGCAAAGCGTGTCGTTTGTATAAATATGAAGAGTTGAGGAAGGAAGAGAGACGAATTTTCAGGCACAAAAATTCAATGACAATGTCAAGTTCTCCAAGTCGACGAAAACCTTCCGACTTTGAAAGTATTCGAAGCAGTACCTTCTGCTCAAAAGCAAGGGCAGGACATTATCTCCACTCCGTTTGAAGGATTAACAGCCACCGTTTGACGAAGAATGGCAAAAAAAATCTCACGTACTATTGTTGGTTCGACTATAATCGCATAAGTGATGCCTTTTGCCTAGAAAGGAGTAGAGGTGTAATATCATATTCGCTGTACGATCATCTTTGCTACACAAGGTTTCGTCCGATATGAGTTCTTAATTACGCGTTTTCTCTTTCTCACTCTATGTTTGCGCCTAATATTGTGCTTCATTTTGCATCTACTCCAGTAAAACTGCTTTGAAACGCACAGCTGATCACTCGCACGCACATAAAGTTGGCAAACATACACAACTACACATTCGTCCAACTGCATCTCACATTAAAAGTGCAAGCAGTAGACATAAAAGTTGCTGGCTAAGCTGCCATACAACCACACATACATACAAATAAGCTCATTTTGGCTTAATGTTACGATCTACTTTGTGCGCTCGTTCTCTCTCTCTCTCTCTCTCTCTCTCTCTCTACATCTCCCTGAGTTCACATACACACATTGCCTATCTCGCTGGTTCGCTCGTAAGCCAGGTTATAACTGAGTGTGAGCCAATAATGCCCGGTTACCTCCAGCCAACGAATGCCTCCAACAGTATTTTATTGTTAAGAGTACTTCTCTCGGCAAATTGGAGCGCAGTTTCAGCGCGGCTGGCAAGCGATCGAGTTGTGGCGTTCAGTGAAAATTACGCGTACGCAAGCACTTAAACGCGCGTTTCCAAAAAAAAAAAAAACAATAAAAAAAAAATAAAATAAAAAACCAATATAAAAATATATAAAGTAGAATATAACAAAAGAAAGCAAAAAAAAAAAAGTATTAAATCAGCATAAATCAGTGTATGAAAAATGTGCTAAATACAAATGAAAGCGTAACACTTATGTGAAAAGTTATGTGTAAAATTTATTTAAAAAAAAATATATGAAAATCATGCACAAAAGCAAGTTCTAACGAATCCAAGTGCTTGAAATGAAATCGAAACCAGAAATTCATATGCAAATTAGCTGATTTCGTAAAATTCGTTATTGCGAATAGTGAAAGAAATTTTCTTCGTAATATTTTTATTTTTTTTTCATTTTTTTACGCCACTGAAAGTTCAGAGCTGTCGGAAGTGAGCGCAAATCAATAAGGTGTGTGTGTGTTTGTATGCATATGCTTGTATATGTTTAAGCAAAAATTGTAAATGCAAAACAAAACCCCAAAAAAAAACACAATAAAGTTAAGTAATTATATTATGCATTGATTATTAATGTGAATGACTGTCAAGTTGCACATTTTTAAGTGTTGCAAGTAAATTTAATGGAGACTTTTTTTCGGGATTTGAAGGTGTAAACATTTTTTTCACAATTAAAATTAATGTAGTTGCCTGTTTGTGAGTTCAATTTTCGCTTTGAGAATAATTGAAAATTGAGAATAATAATGAAAATGAAAATGAGTTGGAAAAGCATCGCCCATATTTCACTCTGAACAGCAGTCGTTGCATGGAGTGTTACTAACTCTTGCTGCACAAGTACATGACTGAGTACTGAGTGAGTTCAAAGAATGTACCAGCCCTATAGGAAATACAATAAAAAAAATTTAATAACGTAAATTTACAGTTAGACCCATTCGCGCAATAATTCAGGAAATAGCTGGATATGTATGAGTAGCTATAAATTTCTAAAAAAAAAAAAAGAAAATAATAATAAAAAGTCACAAAAAAAGCCGAAAAATAAAGCAATTTTCTAACAGCAAAAAAAACGCAGAAAAAAATTATGTATGTATATATTGAAGCTTTGTAACCGCTAAAGCGATTTGCGGCTGAGCACATCCTCTAACTTTTGGCGTGCATTTTGATGTTTAACTAATCCGCTTTCGAACGGTTGGCTTATTTTTATGAGAAGCCGCTATTTCTTGACAGATTTACATGCGGAGGTATTAACGTTCCTTTCCAAGGGACGACCGTAATTAAAGAAAAATTAACTTAAATATTTAGTGAAATCAATTTTCCATAACTTGGTTGTTAGCAGAACCAGGTCTTGAACACTGGCCTTTCGATTAGCAACAGGCACTCCATTAGATAGTTTTTAATATTTTTGTTTCAATTTAATTTTTATTTTTTTTTTTTTTTTTTAGAAACATTAACTAGAACTTAAACATTTTTACGAGACCTTATGCTTTTTTGTTGTAATTTATAGTAGCTGTTAAGCAAATCTTACGCTGCTCTGCTCGAGAGGCAAGTACTAACGCGCACACAGCGATCGGCTTTAAAGTCGGTACAGCTCTGATTGTCGCTGCTTTTCGGTTCCAGATCTTTTGGAAGTACTATTTATACTTCAGCCGACTGAAAGACAGATTGATAACGCGTGTCCTAAATTAACTCCTCGATATTCATACACGAAATTCAACAAATAAAAGCTTGCTCATGTCAAGTAAATTTGAGTAGTCGTTCGTTGATGTTAATGAGGGCTAAATGAGGAAGTTTGAAAATTGTTGTGTTTAAACTATAATTTCTTCGAAATCTTGGAATAATTTCTTTGGCCAAACTTTTGGTTGTTACAATCTTTACCAGCACATGTACTTATGTGCGAGATAAAGAAAATTACGATCTAATAATACTACAGTCTTAAAAGTTAAAAATACATTTACCTTTGCTCAATCGCTTTCGATAGGTTAGAGTCTGATCAAAGATAATTTTTACTTTTTGCATTAAGGCATACCCATGGGATTCTAGATTAAAACTTTCTCACCGTTGAAAGTTTCTTTACCTACCCACTCTCGTCAGCCGTAGAGAAATGTTAGAGACACCGTTTCTAGTCAAATTTTTCATTAGATAATTTGTAGTTCTCTTGGCTGAGGCATACTCGGGCTCTACCGTAAAATTCTTGGAAGATAAATTATGAAATACACGGTGTATCCCAAAAATAACCGAACTTTTCGGATATAAAATAAAATGCACATTATTTTATCTTTGAAAGTTATTATTTATTCAAAATAGGTTCCATTTGACTCAACACAAGGTTTGGAACGATCAACCAGCGCATAGATTTTTTATGTCATTTATAGAAATGTTCTTCAGTACCTCGGTTACGGCTGCTTGAATGCCTGGGAAATCATCATAAAATGCTCCCTTCACCTTGGTTTTCAGTTTTGGAAATACCTGACCTTTCTTTTCCCCAAATCTTCAGTTAAAATTCTCCAAACAGTGTCTTTACTCGTATTCAATTCCTCAGCCAACATTCTCGTAGTAAAATTTGCATCGATACCAATGATTTCACGGACTTTTTCCACCAGTTCAGCACGATTACTAGTTTCTGGGCGTCCTGCTCTAGGGTCGCCATTTAAATCCTCACGACCATTTTTAAGTCGTGTAAACAAAATTTTATATTTGCTCTTTGTTCCATTTTATTTTTGAACCATTAGCACACTTTTGGTTTTATTGAAATGGCTGTCACTTTTACATCTGTCATCCGACTTACATGATGTTAGGTGCGTTTGAAGGAGGATGATGTATCTTTTTAATGTCGCAAATTTTCAACAGATGGCGCTGTATGTTGTATGATTTAAATATAAAGTACGGTTATTTTTGGGACACACCGTGTATATGAGCCATTTCATTGCTTGTGTCACGATCTTGATTCTCTTTCCAACACCTACGTATAAGCTGTGCTCTCTATTCTCGGTTATTTTTACAATCATCTGGGTATATAGTATATAAAAATGAATAATGAAATATAAATGATCTCCGAAATTATGGATTATACTGAAATTGTTGGTTTCTGTGGTTCCTGGAATGGTTTGTACGAAAGCATTGTTTCAGCAGGTGAACCATGGAATTAAAGAAATATTACCAGAGACCTGGAACAAAGTTCGTTTTGCACGAAGCATAAAAAATACTTTCTCTTACTTCGCCAAACGAAAATTTTAAAGCATTCTTAATTTACATTCTCTAGATATATATTTCAGTTGTAAAGTTTCCGACAGGGTAATCAAATAGTTTTGCTTTTACACACGTAGTTGTCATAGTGTGTGAGTGTATGTATTACAATGCATGCATGCCATCATAACTTTAAGCCACATTTCATTTAAAAACTTCCAAAACACGCTGTTGCACTACAAACATTTAAGTGCGCTCTTTGTTTGCTTAACATCTCAATTATTTTCTCAACATTTTTAATGACTTTTTATGCAGTTGGTTTCAATAAATTCATCATTGCGAACGTTCAGCAAAACTTTGAGAGTTTCATACATACACATACACATACAAGTATGCGTGTATTATTTGTATGCCAATGAATTTGAATTTGCTTAGAGATCGAAAATCAGCTGAAACGCATTGAAGTGGCAAGCGTGTGAGTTGTTAAATAACAAATACAAGTGCATTCAAACGCATATACATACACATATTTATATACATACATACAATAAAAACAAACATATCTGCGCCGATTGCTCTTTTACCGACGAGATTTGTATTGCTTTTGCTTTTTTTTTTTTTTTTTTTTTTTTTTTTTTTTTTTTTGTTCGTGTAACCAAGCAACTTGTTTTACACAGTTTTTGTATCTCAGAAATTTTCGTTATACTCCACTTAAGCGTTACACCATTTTTCGATAAGTGCTGTGACTGTGTGGAGTGGAGAGCTCGTTGGATAAACAAAATAAAGAAAAAATATTTTTTATACTCTTATTGCTTTTTTTTGATGGGTAAATAATAAGAAGTAAAAAATATAATTTCTTTAGTAAATAATTTAAATGGTCAGCACTCACGTGCTTCATGATGAGTTATAAGTACGTGCGTATGTAGTGCTCTGGGGCTTCAAGAGGGAATATGTTTGCTTTGAAACTACCTTTTATACAGGTAAAAAAAATAAAAAATAAAATTGAAACCCAGGCTATCGCTTAGCCTCTCTTCTTAGAATTTCTTCCATATTTTAGATTGGTAAAAGAATCCATGTTAGTCAAAGAACTATAAAGATTAAACGGACGGGTTTGGGAAAATCGACCTTGTGTGGAGAGAGCTTTGCAGAGACCACAACATGGTCCAGCAATGCTACATCTCTTAGAAGCATATTTCTTGTCAGTTATGGTGCGCAACGTGTCTACAAACCACATATTTCAATATTCGCTGCCCGATTCGACGACTACTGATGCAAAAGGCGTGCGGATATTTTTTTTGATTTTCTCCTCAATTAATTTTAAATAACCTGAACCTTATGATATGGAACAATTTACTTAGTAAAAGTAGCAGTGGCTGCATACATCCGTGTTTCCTGTGGCATTGGCAGTTGGAATCTACCAACCAAACATTTTTGCCGACGGATCAAAAATACCTATACGACTAGATGCTCTAGATGCTGTTATCTACAGTGCTAATCTGTACTACAGAAAGTACATCGAACTGATCATCTGCGAAGGTAACGAAGAAGGGTACTGTCAAATTTTGGCGCACGCGCAAAAAGGTCTTTCCGACAAACTCTAGCATTGCAATACTAAATTGTTGTACATAATAACATACTACTCTTGTTGTTGTAGTTGTAGTAACAGATCGCAAAATTCGCTTGATAAAGGGCTAGATTAGTCTAAGTTATCTAATGGAAGGTGCAGGACGGGTTCGGACCAGAGAGAGAGGGTGGCCAGATGAATTGGTTTGAGGGGGCATGCAGAGAGGTGGTTAGTGCATGGTGGATGTGTGGATAAGTAGAATTTAACCTGCTACAGTAAGTAGACCTGAGTTGCGGCAGTATTACGCGGGACTCTCGAGGCAGCTCGAACTTTTCGTCTGCTTTGAGTGGTGGTTTGACTCCGCCGATTCGAAAACGCCATTCGCGAGAGAGAGTTCAAAAAGGTATAGATGGATTCTTAATGAATGGCGTTTAGTGCTTGTCTGTACCCCATCCTGCCGCATGGGTGTTGCAGGTATTGTTGAATACAGTCGTTTAAATCTAGTACTCTCTTTCTTGTGTGCCTGGTTGGAGGTTCGGCTGCTCATAAATGTCTGTTGAGGTGCTCCTTACATAATCATCGATATATAAGAACAGGTAAGCCCCTTCGAAGGAGGACGGATTTCGAGACATAAAAAGTTAAACAGCAGTGAAGAGAGAACCCCATCCAGAGAAATCTCTTATTTAAACATTTTTTTTTCAGAAACAGAC